TCTCAGCAACCAGTCTGTATGTATGGAGCTGTTGGCCAATGGGTGGTAGGCTTAAGCATCATTCTCCTTGTGAAAATGTGGAGTGGGCCGGGCACCCCCTGATCCCACAGTGTGAGTGAGTATGGTTTTACGCCGCATTTAGCAAAATTCCAGCAATATCACGGCGGGGGACACCAGAAACGGGCTTCACGTATTGAACCCGATCGAACCCGGGTCTTCGATGTGACGAGCGAACGCTTTAACAACTAGGCTACCCCACCGCTCCACGTCCTCCTACAGGGCTAAATAAACATTGAGTTTGAACACTAAAGCTATTTGCCGTGTCTGTTGAAAGTTAACTTAGCTTTGGAAAAACGTGAAGCGCCATGTCGTAGTATTCCCTGGCGCTTGGTCGTGTCATAACTCAAATAGCACCGCCGTCAAAAACCTGGATTATTGCCGAGTGCGGCGTTAAACAACAAATACACACAAATAGCAAACAGTTTCAGTGAGCTAACTCTATTTGTTTAATCTATTTTCATACATTGTCTGTAAAGGCCTGGTAGTGACGGGTGCGCAAACAACAGCACAACACACTGATTTTGGGTGGCAGAGTAGTCAAGTGGTGAAAACGTTTTCTCGTCATGTTTAAAATCCCGGTTCGATTCCCAACGTGTGTGTCCACAATATGTAAAGCCCATTTTTTCATACTCCACACTCCATATTGAAGTGTAAACCTTTACTCAAAAGTTTCGGACAAATCAATACACAACATAGATGCGTTTAGGACCATAACCCGTTCCTTACGTAATCATGTAAACGCATGTGGCATGTTGAGGAGTCTAAACATGTCCATATCTACATGATTTGTTTGTTTGTTGTTTAACGCCGCACTCAGCAATATTCCAGCTATATGATGGCGGTCTGTAAGTAATCGAGTCTGGACCAGACATTCCAGTGATTGACATCATGAGCATCGATCTACGCAATTGGGATACGATGACATGCATCAACCAAGTCGGCGAGCCTGACCATCCGATCCCGTTAGTCGCCTCTTACGACAAGCATCCTGTTAGTCGCCTTTTACGGCAAGCATGGGTTGCTGAAGATCTAACCCGGATCTTCGCGGGTCCAGATCTACATGGGGGAGCGTATGAATGTTGTTTAAGGCCGTTGTCAGCAATATTCAAATTATATCACGGCGGAGTGTAAATAATCGAGTCTGGTCCTGGTAGGCCGTTGGGGTACGGTGTCACATAGTGAAGAGAGCCTTACCACGACAAGCTTGAGGTACTGGGGACCTATTCTGCATGAACAGAAGCCGAACAGAGGACGGGTAGCCCGACGTGGGTGGCTTCTTTGCAAGCAATATGCAGTGAGTGAGTATGGCTTTACGCCGCTTTTAGCAATATTCCAGCAATATCACGGCGGGGGACACCAGACGTGGGCTTCACACATTGTACTCATGTCGGGAATCGAACCCGGGTCTTCGGCGTGACGATCGAACGCTTTAACCACTAGGCTACCCGACCGCCCCCAATAGACAGTGAGCGTGGTGGGTTTAACGTCGTTATGAACAGTTTGTCAGCTTAGTTTGGGAAATCCACAGCAAAGCAGGTCTTACACGTTCACCACATAGCCGAAACCCATGAGCACAGGCATGGCGCTGAACAACCAAGAATTATAATACAAAGAGAATCAACGGACTTTTGATCCTGGCATAACTAGGGGACGTAACTCTGAACGGCGATTTTAAGCGCCTTCAACGTGGCTACCTTCGTACCCTCGACGTAGTGACTGCACGTGCATTTCTGTTCTCTTGTTTAACCAATGAGGTTTTATTTGAATTGAGTAAATTTGGCATCTGGAAAATCCAGCGATTGAATACTTGTTATCCCCCGCCGGACAAAGTTGGTGGTGGATATAGAAACGGGCTCCGTCCGTCCGTCCGTCACGTTTCGTTTCCGGAGCATTCTTATAAACCGTACAATATTTTTCGTGAAACTTTGCAGGTCTGTCAAGTACATGCTGAACTGGTGCCTTTTGCTATTTAGAAATGTTAGATATTTTTATTTTTTAAGTTTCCATGGCAACAAGATGGACTTAGGTTCCAAACTCTTTTTTTTTTACAATTTCCATGACAAGTTCCACCTCGGTTAAAACAGGTTAGGGTTTGTTTAGATTTAATTATGTCATAAGTCCTGCAACAGGGGCGGGGTATATAGCCACGCTAGTGGCAAACTGTTGTTTGAAGTTGAAACAGGAGATAGAGATGCGCATGTTTTATCCACGACCGTTCTCTTGGCACGGGCGTGTAGTGAAGGGTGCTTCAGATGTATACGTATCTGGATTTCCTTTTGAAATCTGGCCAATATCAAACTGCTTCTAGCCATGGAATGAATGTGGCTAAAAAAAACGCCATTTAAGCAAATGGAATACGATGTCATTACGTGACGGCCTACGGGAAGTTTGGGGAGGAGGAGGAGAAGGGGGCGGGGGGCAGATAAGCACCGTGGACTGACTTAGTTAACACCCAAAGCTATGCCACGTGGTTCCAATCCCTCTCATTATCTCACTATCCACTATTAGCTTATTCCAGCAATATAACGGCGTGGGACACCGGAAATGGGCTTCACACATTGTACCCATGTCGGGAATCGAACCCAGGTCTTCGGCGTGAAGAGCGAACGCTTTAACCACTAGGCTACCCGACCACCCCCTACAGTAATATGACATCGTGTTGTAGTGAAATACTGGCTGTCCACAAAGATACCGGCCCAACTCAATTGGTCCGTTAGGCTCCAAATGAGAACGATGAATTGCAAAGTAACTCATAATCGGGAATAGTCTGTTAAATGTCAATAGCTACACAGCAATGAATACCCTGCATCCAGCAATATCTGTTGTTCGTTAGTTTTTTCCCCATCACTGGAAAAAATGTTGTTTAAGCTGCACTCAGCAATATTCTAACCATATGACGGCAGTCTGTAAATAATCAAGTCTTGGCCAGACAATCAAGTGATTGACGTCATGAGCATCAATCTATGTAATTGGGAAGCGATGACACGCATCAACCAAATCAGTGAGCCAGACCACCCGATCCCGTTAGTCGCCTCTTACAAGAATGCGTAGCTGAAGACCCAATTATAATCCGGATCTTCACAGGTCTGTGGTCATTTACAAACTTGGTGAGCAAAGCAACTATTGAACAGCAGCCAGACATGTTCCAGCTATATCAAACATGTTTTCATTATTCGAGTGAGTGAGAGGTTTTACGCGGCTTTTAGCAATATTCCAGCAATATCACGGTGGGGGACACCAGAAATGGGTTTCACACATTGTACCCATGTCGGGAATCGAACCCGGGTCTTCAGCGTGATGAGCGAACGCTTTAACCACTAGGCTATCCGACCGCCCCTTCATTATTAGAGCAAGGATGGAAGATTGAGTTGTGGTCACAGCAGCAGCCATACAGACTATGCTCAGTCAGATCACACATCGTAACCAGAGCTCCAGATAAGCTGCGTTTCTGCGTGAAATACGCATCAGAAATGCAGAAATACGCAGTAAAATATAATCCAAGCGTATCAAATACGCAACGAACATTACAGATACGCTACAAAAATAAAATTTGTGCGTATCATCAAAATCATGTAAAGGAACCCTGCGTATTCGATTAGCAAATCAGCAACTTATTTTGAAATTATAAACTGGCATTCCGTCAACCTTGCCAAACTCCACGATGACAGTCACATCATGATCATTTGCCATCACACTTTCGTGTGGAAGTATCGTGGTATTTTTGAGTCCTATAAAGCTCTCAAACCCACACGACACCAGTTTGAATGATGAATAGTGTTTTTAAATATTTAACTTAAATACCCACATGTGTAAAAACTAGTGGGTAACAGAAATTTGAATACGCAGATAGAATTACTGATACCCAATAATTTTAAAATGCATGGGTTAAATACCCACAACACCAAAAGCTTATCTGGAGTTCTGGTTTACCTTCCAAGACAAGCTTATGGTGCCTACTACTGGCGGGGATGAGAATGGGTTTAAAAAATAAATAAAATAAAAGCCTTGAAAGTTAGCCAGGGGTCTTGGGGACTATACAGTTTATGCGTATATTATAACATTTCTCCAGAAAATTCTCAGCCCTGTAGCGGGGAACCCATTCTGCCCTACATTGCCGACAAGGTCCATGCATGACCTGGAAGATTCCATGATTGTGATTTTATCATTCCTAACAATTGATAACTAAATTATTTGAACATAAAACAGAAATTGTTGCATGATGTAATAAATTTTACTGACCGTATGAGATGAGATAACATATTTTATTCCATATTCAGAGCTCCAGATAAGCTTTTGGTGTTGTGGGTATTTTACCCATGCATTTTAAAATCATTGGGTGTCAGTAATTCTATCTGGGTATTCAAATTTCTGTTACCCACTAGTTTTTACACATATGGGTATTTAAGTTAAATATTTAAATACACTATTCATCTAGTCCTTGCAAACTGTTGTCGTGTGGGTTCGAGAGCTTTATAGGACGCAAAAATACCGCGATACTTCCACAAAAAAGTGTGATGGCAAATGATCTTGATGTAACTGTCATCGTGGAGTTTGGCAAGGTTGGCGGAATGTCGTATATAATATGAAAATAAGTTGCTGATTTGCTAATCGAATACGCATTTATGATGCATATTTTACGCAGATACGCAGCTTATCTGGAGCTCTGATATTTGTCAGACATGTGAAGGGCACATTGAATGAATCCTGCCATGTCAGTACTAACAGTACAATGATAACGAGTGAGTGAGTGAGTGAGTTGGGTTTAACACCGCTTTTAACAGTATTCCAGTTACATCACGGCGTGTCAGCTTAATGTGGGAGGAAAGCCTGAAGTGATGCAGGTCTCAGACGTTTACCACTTCGGTAAAACCCAAAAGCATGGGTATGTTGCTGACAACCCTAGAAACATAATCGGGGCGAACCGGGATTCGAACCCACAATCATAGGTTTCTGGCGTGCCCAAGGGACGCAACTCTGCACAGCGAATTGCGGCGCCTTAGACGACTGGGCCACCCGTGCCCCCACAATGATACCGATCAAACAATTATTTTACAATACGCTTTCATGATTTGAAAGCGGTTTAAAGATGAAGAAATCACATGTAGCAATCTCAATAATATGTTAATAAATGATTTTCTATGTACATTACCAAAGTTCTACCATGGCTACAAAGGAAACATCGAAACAACTTCAAATCATAATTTCTTAGGAACATGAGAAATAATTGGCTTTGGTCGTGTCTTGAACAGTATCTTCTTCTTTATGATGGCTTCTACAATATAGCCATTATTTGTTGGATTGGTTTCCATGGCAACATCTCCTTGTTTATGTGATTGTTTTGCTAACACAGCAAAGGGTTTTTCCAGCTCCACCACTTTTCCAAATAAAATGTGATGCCCGATAATGAGAACTGGTGCATCCTTGGAAAACAAGAAGATGTTGGATAAATAAGTCTTATAATTCATAATCAAGTCAGAAGAATTGAAATATTGCAGAAAGGGTACTTGTCGTACACACAATATTTCACCTAGTTTAAGGGCAAATGCCAGTATCATCAATGGTTGGTTGGTCAGCAATATTCAAGCTACATGACAGCAGTCTGTAAATAATCGAGTCTGGACCAGACAATCCAGTGATTAATATCATAAGCATCGACCCACGCGATTGGGATACGATGACATGCATCAACCAAGTCAGCGAGCCTGACCACCCGATCCCGTTAGTCGCCTTTTAGGACAAGCATAGTCACCTTTTACGGCAAGCATGGGTTGCTGAAGACCTATTCTACCCCGGAATCTTCACGGGTCATCATCAATGGTTATACTAGCGCCAAATATCCAACTGTGCTACAACAATGATGGGTCTGCAAATTACCTGAATGTTCTGCTTATTTGAGTGAGTAAGAATGTTTTACCACACTTTTAGCAATATTCCAGCAATATCACGGCGGGGGACACCAGAAATGGGTTTCACACATTGTACCCATGTCGGGAATCGAACCCGGGCCTTGGGCGTGACAAGTGAACGCTTTAACCACTAAGCTTCCCCCTCTCCCCCATGCTGTTTTGAAATTGAGTGAGTGAGTGAGTTGAGTTTAACGCTTCTTTCAACAGTATTCCAGTTATATCACGGCGTGTCAGCTTAATGTGGGAGGAAAGCCCGAAATGATGCCCGTCTCAGACATTTACCACTTTGGTGAAACCCACAAACACGGGTATGGTGCTGACAAATCTGGAAACATATTTGCAACTTACCGTGATATTTGAAATTAGGACAACAAAAGTATCATAAATTGATTTGATAAACTAGTAAATTGAGTGAGTGAGTATGGTTTTACGTCGCTTTTAGCAATATTCCAGCAATATCATGGCAGGGGTCACCAGAAATGCGCTTCACACGATAAACTAGTAAAATCCCTGAAATAGACATATGGAGACACAATGGATGCTTATAACATTAACCTACTTATCTACCAACCAAACCTAAGGTGTTTTCTTTCACTGGTACTCTGTATATTTAAGTACACTTGAAAATATATACATTGAGCTCCAGAAGCAGTGTTTACCTTGTTGGTGAAATGCAAATCACCAATGAATTTTCCACCAAGGGGCACCGGATGTCGGGTTTCAAGGGCACCTTGAAGGTCAATGATGGCCCACTCTGGACAATCCTTGGCGTCACCAGGTCTGAAGACAATATTAACACTGCCTTAATTCCTGTTATTAAGAGTACCAATCCTTTCTGATCAATATCATAAAAATTACTTTGAATTACAGAAGTATTTGAAACAGGTTCACATTGGCATTTCATGATCATCGATCGAGTTAATAATCGGTTTGCTCAAAGAACAATCTATGAACCAATCATCAATCCTGTTTTGATATATATAATCTGCTTGTCCATATCATCCTGATCATAATGTGTACATGACTCCTTATGATTACAAAGTAGTTAGATTGTTTTCTATTTCTACATGTCTGTGGTTTTAAATTTCAAGAGGTCTATGATGAGTAAGTGAGTGAGTATGGTTTTACGCCGCTTTTAGCAATATTCCAGCAATATCACGGCCAGGGACACCAGAAATGGGCTTCACACATTGTACCCATGTCGGGAATCGAACGGTCTTCGGCGTGACGAGCGACGGTTTAACCACTAGGCTACCCGATCGCCCCTGTCTATGATGAAATGCCAGACCAAGTTAATTTCTTGTTTGTGGACAAAGAGTATCTTACATTTTCCAAATGTTAAAAACGCAAGCTGGGTTTGTTTGAGATTAAATGCATTTTTTAACATATATGTCCCTGTGAAAATTCGTGAATTCTCTAGTACCTGATGTTTGTATGAGAGACTAGAGGGGGATGGTCAGGGTGACAGTTTTGTTTTCCCCTTGAAGTGGAGGTTTGTTTGTGCTTTCTGTCACTGATTTGCCTGGCAAAGACCATCTTCCAAAGGAGTTAACAGACTGTAAAAGTCCAGTTTTCACCCTTGCCAAACCAGGCTGGAATTTCTGGGCTCGATCGTAACGCCACCAGTGGCTATAACGATTATGTCCCTTCTATACCCCTCCAATTGACCTAGCAGATTCCACCTCTCATATCACTTGCATTTGCTTCAAATAAAATGGTGTCGCCCAGTGAAGATGATCTGATCGATAATCAAGATCTATATTGTAATATAATGCAGGAAGTGCATCAAATCACATGAGCACATGAAAAGATTTGGAAAATATCTATTGACGCAAAGTTGTCAGTACACATGCTTTGCATATCCTGCAATCTACTGAAATCTGCACGGCAGTTTAGGAACTGGATGTCTATTTTGTTTCACGATTTTGGTTGGACTGTGCATAGACTTGTTAGTCCAGCAAAAATATAATTCCTTAACTCCAGCCTAGTCCGGCAAGGGTGGAAACTGGACTTTTATATCCACTAGACCACAGCGTCGGTCCTACTGTGAAGGAATGTTCTATCTAGGACCATAGAAGCTAGGTTGTTGTCAGGGGAACCAATGAGCTATGAGTGTCAAGATTTCTCTGTACAAATGAGAAAAGCATTCGGACAAGCGTATATGATCTGAAGTTAATCAGTTAAAAGGCCTGTCCCAAGTTATTTTATTGTGGATATTTTAAACACTCTGTTGTTGTTTCTAAGCGCTGTGACATCTACACCGAAAACGAAATACCATCGAAAGAAGCTGACATCATATTGGCTCAAGAACCCAGAGATATCTTATCAGAGTAAAAGACTTGATTTGACAAAATATTGATGAGATTGTAGATTAACTATAGCTTACATGACCTGTGATATTGCTGGATCTCTTTTGTATCCAGCCTCATACTAAGCCTGACATTTTACACCGTGGCCTCAATGTAATTTTGCTCAACCATCTTCAAAGCAGTGACCCACATTAACATAAGTGACAAATACAACAGTTCACTCGTGGAATGCGTGAACAAACTGTCGATTCTATGTGTGAATACTGACAGAAGTGTGACATATTTTAAAACAATAATGACTGAATCTCACAGTTGTATGTACACCTGCACCATCCTTGTATTGAATGTTGTCCGCTTTCGCGCAATATTTCATTTCCGGGTCGCTTGGTTCCGTCTCTTCTTATTACAAATACGTACTGCGCTGACAGGGACAGGAACCATCTTACTACTTCACAAACTATTGGTTGTTGCATTTTATTGCTAACCAACCAAAAAAAGAGGAACGCGTTTTGCCCGTATCTGCAACATGGCTGCGCCCTGGAACACATGTGTTTATGTTTCTGTGAAAGCAATAAATGAGCGATTTCAGTGATTGTACCCCTCAGATTTGACATTGTACTTTACCAGTTGTATCGGTAAGTAGATATATCTATCAGTTTATGTAGCTGACATGAACGTGCCATATTTATCCGTGCTTTGGAAGGGTGAATTTGGATGAAAGTAATCTTTATTATTTACTGATAGATCTGGTAGTAATAATATATTGAGGAATTATGTTACAGGTTGATGTGTGGTAAGTCTAAGATTAACAATTAAGCAAGCAGCATTTCTACCTCTGTTACAGAACTAATCTCTATACTAAAACTATTACCAAAATATCAGGTGAAATACCCTGATATAGTGAGTTCCTATATGCATAAAAAAAATGGAAATGTAAGTAACGTATGATCTATCAGTTTAAAAGTTTTGACATTCATTTTTATGAATAGGTTGTTAAAGCGAACTGAAGATGGGGGAGTTTAGAGTGCATCATGTTCGGTTCTTCGAGTACAAGCCCAAGGCTATCCACTGTCTGGCTTATACAAAAGAATCTAAGAGATTGGCTGTTTCACGGTAAGAGCAAAACAAAGCAGTCTCATACTGGCAACTAGAATTCCTTCAACACATTAAATATTGTTCGTTTTTTTCTGGTTTGGTTTGTTGAGACTGACTGTGATAATCAGACTTATATGACAACATTCAAGGATACATCATGTACATGCAACAAATTCCTGTGATTCAACATGTTCAATATGTTCAAGTGTATAATCACTATTTTCTTTCATAAGTTTTATTGATATTTGTAATGTTTGTGATTAGATACCGGTATTATATTCTGTAATTTCTTTTCAAAGATACAGCATATACTATTGGAAGTTCAAGTTAAAAACCAGTGATTTGTTTTAACAGATCTGACGGCTCACTGGAAATATGGAGTGAACAAGACAAGTGGTTTCAAGAGAGGGTAATTCTTAATATTGTAATCAAATATCATGTTATTTTACTGGTAAAAAGGTTTTACTTCTGATATATTTGTTATGATATCAATAAAATATAACAATTTGACAATCATGATTATCATAAAACAAACATAGATTGGATATTTGTTTTGAAAATGGAATCTGTGTTTATCATGTGTATGCAAGCAGAAATAACAAATTATGAGTTCCATATTGTAAACAACTTGTTAGATGTAAGTACATTTTCTTATCAACAGTTATTTGTCCTGTGAAGATTTCAGGTTAGAATTGGTCTTCAGCAACAAACACTTGTCATTAGAGGCGACTAACGGGATCGGGTGATCAGGCTTGTTGACTTGGTTGATGCATGTCATCATATCCCGATTGCATAGATTGATGCTCATGATATCAATCACTGGATTGTCTGGTCAAGACTTGATTATTTACAGACTGCCATCTTCAAGCTGGAATATTGCTGAATGTGGTGTTAAACAACAAACAAACAAATCAACCATTATTTTCATTTTATTTATTGTTTTGGACATTTTTTTCTTTGCATTTATTGAGTTCTCATGGTCTTTGTCAGGTTATTCCAGGAAGTGGTGATCGGTCAATTGAAGCTGTGATTTGGCAAGGGAGGCGACTCTTCACTGCAGGACTTGATGGCGAAGTGACAGAATATGACTTGATCAAACTGCAGCCAATGGTGAATGTTATTTATTCATTTGTCATCATGATTATTCATAGGAATCTCTCTAGCCAAGTATGGTTGGTAGAAAATGTGCTATAAGTTAGCCATGTTTGGAAAAAACGTATCAATGTATTGGAGTTGATGGGGTGTCCAGTCATCCCTTCAAATCGCTATGCAGAGTGGTGTCCCTTAGGCAAGGCAGAAACCTATGATCATGGGTTGGATCCCAGAATCACCCTGATTATGTCACGAGGTTTGTCAGGGCCATGCAAGTGCTCATGGGTTTCACCAAAGTGGTAAATATCTAAAGCCTCTATCATTTTTACTTTCCTCCACATCAAACTGACGAACAGTATTGCAGATACAATAATGTTCAAAGCAGCTTTACACCAAACTCACAGACACACTCATTATTAATTCACTGACCGCAATGTAAGACAGACTGGCATCTCTGAAGTCTATTTATATACCCAGCCAAGGAGATTGATGTTCATACTTTCAGTCACTGGTTTGATACCCTTGGCCAAGGGTACCTGGTTGAAGATACAACCTATTAAAGAAATAAACGACTCTTGGTTGTTGTTTATCGTACAATAAAACACTGCGCCACAAAGGTTTATTCTCCCTGCAGTTTTTGTATTGTACGATAAACAACGACCACGGGTCGTTTATTACATTCACCGGTATGAGATATCAACATTATGTACAGCCTCTTTAAGGATGTTAATAAATTTTACAAACTTTGATAATATTTACCCAAATTTTAATCTTGATGACTCTCGGAATAGAATCTGACCTTGGAAATGTTGGACAAGTCCATTTTATGAACAGGTGGTATTAGTATGGTATTTCCCCCATGTTCTCATGTCAATTATCTGTACCTCTTTTCTTGTCATATCTCTCACACTTTTGGATGCGAACCTTCGGCCACTGCGTTTATCTGCGTCCCCCAGCTAAATCTATGGGGACAACTTACTTGGCACCTCCCTCTCAAAAATAACATCCTACAAGATATGACGTCATCAAGTAGCAAGAGCATATTCAAGTCTCCAGAAATGACGTCATGATAGAAAATTGTTTTATTGAGAAATATACCATGCTTGGTTCTTCATTGTTGTTTGCGATTTATCACATAGCTATTTTATATTTATCCCATACCATTTGTTATTTTCAGCACTCAGCTTTTTCACATGCAGGACCGATCTGGTGCCTTACACAGAACTCCAGTGGGACAAGATTAGCTGTGAGTCCTCCTGTTTTGATATCTGGAAATATACTAATCTGGTGTTGAGGATGATTGCTGTATACTCAGTGTGACTCAAACAGATACGAGATATTTTTTGAGAAATACTTACAGTGAAATGAAGTGTTTGATAGGCATTTGAAATTGGAAAAACACGAAAACATTAACTTTTTTTATGGATAAGCAATTCTTTATTCTTGGTCAGAGCGTTTCAGGGCTACTTCTTGTCCCTTCATCGGGTGAATACTGAATAAACATTTTGAGTTTTTAAATATACAAGCTGATTTGTTGACACAGTGTAAGAATAATGTGAAGTGACTGCATTCAATTGTCAGTATATTTGCAGATTATTGTTCTCTTCGGGACCAGGCGCAAGGTAGCCTAGTGGTTAAAGCGTCCGCTAGTCACGCCGAAGACCCGGGTTTGATTCCCGACATGGGTACAATGTGTGAAGCCCATATCTGGTGTCCCCGCCATGATATTGCTGGAATATTGCTAAAAGCGACGTAAAACCAAACTCACCCTCAAGAAAATATTATTGGGGTGGGTTAGAGGGAATATGACAGTTTTTAGAGGAGGTCATAGACAAAAAGACAGTTTAAAATAAAATATAAAGTGCTTTTGCATTTTGTGAAAACCATGACAAGCATTAGGGGAGGGTTATTTTTGTACTGTACATCAGTGAATCAGAAACCTTGGACCCACCCTACCCCGTAATAAATGATCCTTATTGTTACCCCAATATTGCATGATGAGATGTAACTCTACTTTCAGGCAGGGACAGAAGACGGCTGTGTGGTGTTGTTTGATATTGACATGGACAATCTACAGTACCTTAAGTCGTTTGATAAACAAGAAGGTAACATTTCTCTGCCAGTTGTACAAGGGACGTATTTAACGTTAATTATGGTCAAAGGGAGAGACATAGCTGTTAATGTTGTTTATCATTTTAAAGGTATATACATACGACCTAAAACTCTTTGGTATAAAGTCAGTAGTAGATTTGTATAATCATATTATCCAAACAATTAATAGACTGTATGTTTGACTGCTGAAAAACTTAATTCAGTTAATTCATTTTTATGTTTATAGTCAGGTTCACTTGGAAGTATCATTATACATGCTGAAGAATGTTTATGTTTTCATAGATTTCAGTGGTTAAAATATTTGCACAAATATATAAACTGGTCTTCACCATGGAAACAAATTCGTTATTAATAAAAGTGATAATCGGGTGATTTAAGTGACACTGGAAGAAATTACTGATGATGTGAAATCGATGGCCAAAGGGAGATAATTTGTGATCAGGATAGAGTTGTCTCCCTTTGACCATGATTGCTGCGTACAGACACGAGATTCTGATTTCTTGAGTCTTGTTTTACTGATATTATTTTTATGGAAATGAGTCATATATTCACCAATAGAATTTTATTTATTGTAAGAATAGCATCAGTGTCTTATTTGTATTTGGTTTGAGAAAGTTACGTGGGGTGTAAGAGTTGAAAAGATGTAACCAACGTTTTATAAGAAACTTTATCTCTCTCTCACATGTGTATAATTATATGCGTACATACGAAATACATAAATAATTATGAATTATTTTTTAATAACATTCCTAACTGTAAATTAATACCCTAAACTTGTTTATGTTATTCGGCAACAATCATATAAGGGACACACGTTCTGCCCTAGACTGGGTTACTGGCACTAGACCGCTTGGGCTCCCTCCCTGCAGCTGATAGGGGCAAAGGGCAGGGCACCAGTCTAGCTCTGTCTGACCTATTTACCCATACAGTATTTCCCTGTGGGGAAACGTTGACCCATTTCTGTGAAGCAGGTCTGTCTGTCAAGAGGGCCGGGAACAGGCCTATTTCATATCGCTATGTGGGAACGTTGACCCAGGTTCCGTGTGGCGAGATATCAGCACTTTTAGACAGTGTGAACAATTGATATGTCAGACTGCAGGAGTAAACATATTACCATTAGGGAGATAACTCTCATAGAGCAGTATGGTTCAGTATGGTCTAGTGGTAGAGTGTCCGCCCGGAGAGAGGAAGGTCTGGAGTTCAATCCCCGGCCGCGTCATACCAAAAGACGCTAAAAGATGGTACTTGTTGTTACCCTGTCTGGCGCTCGGCATTAAGGGGCTAAAACAAGGACTTGTCGGCTCGGAGTCAGTATACTGTGTCTGAGTGGGGTATTCATGTTAAACTGCGGCATGGTATCTCAGTGAGCTAGCACTATAAATCGGCATCAGTCCGGTCTAGTACAAGCAGCCACACAAACACACACACGTACATGCACGTCGCTATATAAGTGCAATAATCTTGGGCGCGACGTTAAACCACATTTCACCTCACCTCACAATATTGCTATGGAGTATGTGCTTTGTAAAAACAGCACTGGGTTCCATTGTCACACTCCCCTATAGATCCAGATGATAAGATGTATGTGTGCATGTTGTAGGTCGTATTTTGTCCATCGCTTGGCACGAGGGAGAGAACACCATAGTGACCGGTGGGGTGGACAATATCCGTCTGTGGAGTGCCAGCTCCGGCCACGCCATCCAGCGACTGACCATCGGCCGAGAGGAGGTTTCTAAAGAGACAATCGTGTGGTGTGTCACCGTCACAAGGTGGGTGGAAGCTGCGGGACGTCTAGTTCCGTGTTTACACTCTGGAATAACTCATGGACTGAAACCCATTTGTTGTAACTTGTATTGACTTGATTTCTGTGTCCACGAGGCAATGGTTTACAGAACCAAGAAGGTTTGTGACTCAATCCATATTAATTAGGGCTGAGACGAGTCCGATTTTACTACCCGGGCACCCTACCCCCTATTACCTGAACCTACCCGGATACCCAACCCCCCTATTACCCGACCCTACCCGGGTACCCGCTGTAGGTCTCAAGAGATAGGTACAAAATGTCCGATTGGGCATTTATTTACCATAGCAGTGGCAAAACATATTTAGATACACGTATTAAACAATCTGGTCATGTATACACTGAAGTTGACTCAAGTTATATCTTTTTTCAAAGATATGAAAAGTCTGAAGAAATGGGTGCATAGTCAGGAAGAAGTGTGAACATTTGTGACGCGTAGTGTAACCATAGAGTTCTAGATACTTTTCGTCATTGAACAATATATCACATGACTAACCACGGGTCTTGGTAGTCCTGTGGGTACCCAGGCCCTACTCAGTACCCAACCGACCCAGGTACCCGAGTTACCCATCCCAGCCCCAATATTATTCTGTCTAGGGGATTCTGGGACGGAATGGTTCCCATGCTTCTCACTAAAGCCGACTAATTGGGATGATTTGGTTTTAAGGCACTGCAATTCACTGTGCAGAGTTGCGTCCCTTGAGCGTGCCAGAAGCCTATGATTGTGGATTCGAATCTTGGTTCACCCTGATTATGTTTCTACGTTTGTCAGCACCATACCCATGCTCGTGGGTTTCACCAAAGTGGTATACGTCCGAGGCCTGCATCACTTCGGGCTTTCCTCCCACATTAAGCTAACATGCTGAGATGTAACTGGAATATTGTTAAAAGTGGCGTTAAACCAAACTCACTCACTCACAACCACAATGACCATTCTTCATGCTGTCAACCACTAGTTTGCTTGTCCCATGATTATTTACAGGTAGTGTATTTTTGTATACACAGTTTATGAAATCAACTCTCAGGCAGTATTCAGATGGCCAGATGGCTCATTTGGAGCTGAAAGTGCGCACCTATAAAGGATTAATGTACTCCCATCATGATTGCTGGGTATAAAACACACACATAGTTACTGATTTTGTTGATATTGTGGCAAAACATTGATTGACTGATTGACTGCATTGTTAGGTTTAGCAGTTGAAACTGGAGGGTTTGTAGTTTCTTCAGAGCATGGTACTGTGGGTGTATTTATGAGGGCCGAGGATGCGTTCACAGTTTCTGGGCAGGGGATACGCTTAGTTTGTTCAGTAAATGAAGGGTTGTTACCATGGTTACAGTGACCTAACAGTCATCAGCGGAGACTCACGGGGGAAGACGTGCTTCTGGAACGGCAAGATGGGAACACTCCTCCGAGTAAGTTGCTGCAGGGGAGATAACTCATACATACTAGCCACTTTACACCATCACAAGTCTAACCATATTACACCACCATCACCTGTCTAGCCATATTACACCACCATCACATGTCTAGCCATATTACACCATCACCTGTCTAGCCATATTACACCACCATCACATGTATAGCCATATTACACCATCACCTGTCTAGCCATATTACACCACCAACACCTGTCTAGCCATATTATACCACCATCACCTGTCTAGCCATATTATACTACCATCACCTGTCTAGCCATATTATACCACCATCACCTGTCTAGCCATATTATACTACCATCACCTGTCTAGCCATATTACACCATCATCACCTGTCTAGCCATATTATACCACCATCACCTGTCTAGCCATATTATACTACCATCACCTGTCTAGCCATATTATACCATCACCTGTCTAGCCATATTATACCACCATCACCTGTCTAGCCATATTACACTACTTTGTCTCTACACTGTACTGAGTGTCTAGCCATATTACACCACCATAACCTGTCTAGCCTTATTACACCATCACCTGTCTAGCCTTATTATACACCATCACCTGTCTAGCCGTATTACACCACCATCACCTGTCTAGCCTTATTATACACCATCACCTGTCTATCCATATTACACCACCATCACCTGTCTAGCCATATTACACCATCCATTGTCTAGCCATATTACACCATCACCTGTCTAGCCATATTACACCATCACCTGTCTAGCCGTATTACACCACCATCACCTGTCTAGCCGTATTACACCACCATCACCTGTCTAGCCATATTACACCACCATCACCTGTCTAGCCATATTATACCACCATCACCTGTCTAGCCATATTACACCACCATCACCTGTCTAGCCTTATTACACCATCACCTGTCTCGCCGTATTACACCACTTTGTCTCTCTACACTGTACTGAGTGTCTAGCCATATTATACACCATCACCTGTCTAGCCGTATTACACCACCATCACCTGTCTATCCGTATTACACCACCATCATCTGTCTAGCCGTATTACACCACTTTGTCTCTCTACACTGTACTGAGTGTCTAGCCATATTATACACCATCACCTGTCTAGCCGTATTACACCACCATCACCTGTCTAGCCGTATTACACCACCATCACCTGTCTAGCGGCATTACACCACCATCACCTGTCTAGCCATATTACACCACTTTGTCTCTCTACACTGTACTGAGCGTCTAGCCATATTATACACCATCACCTGTCTAGCCGTATTACACCATCACCTGTCTAGCCATATTACATCATCACCTGTCTAGCCGTATTACACCACCATCACCTGTCTAGCCGTATTACACCACCATCACCTGTCTAGCCGTATTACATCACTTTGTCTCTACACTGTACTGAGTGTCTAGCCATATTACACCACCATCACCTGTCTAGCCTTATTACACCATCACCTGTCTCGCCGTATTACACCACTTTGTCTCTCTACACTGTACTGAGTGTCTAGCCATATTATACACCATCACCTGTCTAGCCGTATTACACCACCATCACCTGTCTAGCCGTATTACACCACCATCACCTGTCTAGCCGCATTACACCACCATCACCTGTCTAGCCGTATTACACCACTTTGTCTCTCTACACTGTACTGAGTGTCTAGCCATATTATACACCATCACCTGTCTAGCCGTATTACACCATCACCTGTCTAGCCATATTACATCATCACCTGTCTAGCCGTATTACACCACCATCACCTGTCTAGCCGTATTACATCACTTTGTCTCTACACTGTACTGAGTGTCTAGCCATATTATACACCATCACCTGTGTAGCCGTATCACACCACCATCACCTGTCTAGCCGTATTACATCACTTTGTCTCTACACTGTACTGAGTGTCTAGCCATATTATACACCATCACCTGTGTAGCCGTATCACACCACCATCACCTGTCTAGCCGTATTACATCACTTTGTCTCTACACTGTACTGAGTGTCTAGCCATATTATACACCATCACCTGTGTAGCCGTATCACACCACCATCACCTGTCTAGCCGTATTACACCACCATCACCTGTCTAGTCGCATTACACCACCATCACCTGTCTAGCCGTATTACACCACTTTGTCTCTCTACACTGTACTGAGTGTCTAGCCATATTATACACCATCACCTGTCTAGCCGTATTACACCATCACCTGTCTAGCCATATTACATCATCACCTGTCTAGCCGTATTACACCACCATCACCTGTCTAGCTGTATTACATCACTTTGTCTCTACACTGTACTGAGTGTCTAGCCAAATTATACACCATCACCTGTGTAGCCGTATCACACCACCATCACCTGTCTAGCCGTATTACATCACTTTGTCTCTACACTGTACTGAGTGTCTAGCCATATTATACACCATCACCTGTGTAGCCGTATCACACCACCATCACCTGTCTAGCCGTATTACATCACTTTGTCTCTACACTGTACTGAGTGTCTAGCCATATTATACACCATCACCTGTGTAGCCGTATCACACCACCATCACCTGTGTAGCCGTATCACACCACCATCACCTGTCTAGCCATATTACATCACTTTGTCTCTACACTGTACTGAGTGTCTAGCCGTATTACATCACTTTGTCTCTACACTGTACTGAGTGTCTAGCCGTATTACATCACTTTGTCTCTACACTGTACTGAGTGTCTAGCCGTATTACACCACTTTGTCTCTACACTGTACTGAGTGTCTAGCCGTATTACACCACTTTGTCTCTACACTGTACTGAGTGTCTAGCCGTATTACACCACTTTGTCTCTACACTGTACTAAGTGTCTAGCCGTATTACATCACTTTGTCTCTACACTGTACTGAGTGTCTAGCCGTATTACACACTTTGTCTCTACACTGTACTGAGTGTCTAGCCGTATTACACACTTTGTCTCTACACTGTACTGAGTGTCTAGCCGTATTACACACTTTGTCTCTACACTGTACTGAGTGTCTAGCCGTATTACACACTTTGTCTCTACACTGTACTGAGTGTCTAGCTGTATTACACACTTTGTCTCTACACTGTACTGAGTGTCTAGCCGTATTACACACTTTGTCTCTACACTGTACTGAGTGTCTAGCCGTATTACACACTTTGTCTCTACACTGTACTGAGTGTCTAGCCGTATTACACACTTTGTCTCTTCACTGTACTGAGTGTCTAGCCGTATTACACACTTTGTCTCTACACTGTACTGAGTGTCTAACCGTATTACACCACCATCACCTGTCTAGCCGTATTACACCACTTTGTCTCTACACTGTACTGAGTGTCTAGCCGTATTACACCACCATCACCTGTCTAGCCGTATTACACCACTTTGTCTCTACACTGTACTGAGTGTCTAGCTGTATTACACCACTTTGTCTCTACACTGTACTGAGTGTCTAGCTGTATTACACCCCTTGTCTCTCTACACTGTACTGAGTGTCTAGCCGTATTACATCACTTTGTCTCTACACTGTACTGAGTGTCGTGTTCCTGTATTCCAGAGTTTCCAGAGCCACAAGGCGGACGTGTTGTCACTCTGTCTCAGCGAGGTATGTTCATCTAGATCAGGGGCAGTGGGGTAGCCTAGTGCTCAAAGCATTCGCTCCTCAAGACCCGGGTTCAATTCCCCACGTGGATACAATGTGTGAAGCTCATTTCTGGTGTCCCCTGCTGTGATAATCCTGGAATATTGCTAAAAGCGATGGAAAACAATATTCACTCACTTATCAAGAGGAAGTGTTAATCTTGTTCATCTTTGAATCAGTAATAACTGTGAGACTATTCACTCCATTAACTCAGTGTATTGTGTCAGACTAGGTTCATTTATAGTCCATGCAGAATCCTCAACCAGATGTGTTATGAAGTTTTTAAATCCCGCTTCTTATTGATAAACTGCATAAAAATAATGCACTTAATGGTGTGACCCTGACAGTGGCATGTTTCCCATATTAGGTCCAAGAGTTGTTTAGAGCATCGTCAGACAGACACTGAATTAAATTTGAGGTTTGGAAAACACATCATGTCCTACTCCTGTGCTACTCAGCTTTTGATAGGGATATTCCCGAGTGACTGACGGACTGTTTGATTGGATAGTGGTGGGAGGCAAACAGTCAGCAATCTATTCTGTTTTTAGGCAGAGGAGAGCTTGTACACGGTAGGCGTGGACCCGACCATTGTCCAGTTCGAGAAGGTCATCTACCCCGGGGAGAACAACCCGGGCAAGTGGACGAGGTCAGTCGTCCGGTCCAGCCACACCCACGATATCCGAGCCATCGTCCTGTCTGGGGACACCATCATCACGGGAGGTACTGCTTCCAGATGTAGTAGGGGTTTAAACAAGACCCACGACCCTGTGGGGATTGCAGGTCACAATAGTTGTAAGAGTTGACCAAATGGATCGGGTGGTCAGTCTGGGGACACCATCAACACGGGAGGGACTGTTTCCAGATATAGTAGGGGTTTAAACAAGACCCACGACTCTGTGGGGATTCTGGGTCACAATAGTTGTAAGAGTTGACCAAATGGATCGGGTGGTCAGTCTGGGGACACCATCATCACGGGAGGGACTGTTTCCAGATATAGTAGGGGTTTAAACAAGACCCACGACTCTGTGGGGATGCCAGGTCACAATAGTTGTAAGAGTTGACCAAATGGATCGGGTGGTCAGGCCATGATAGAACTGAAATACTGTTCAAAACAGAGTATATCCTTACTCCCCATTGAATGAAATGTTGGTGTTTCGATCCCCTGGCCTTGTGATACCAGAAGATGGTAAAAGCTGTTAGTTGTAGTACGGAATGGTTGGTTGGTTGGTTGGTTTGTTGTTTTACGCAGCCCTCAGCAATATTACAGCTATATGATGGCGGTCTGCAAATAATCGAGTCTGGACCAGACAATCCAGTGATTGATATCATGAGCATCGATCCACGCAATTGGGATCGATGACATGCTTCAACCAAGTCAGTGAGCCTGACAAACCGATCCCGTTAGTCGCCTCTTAGGACAAGCATAGTCGCTTTTTACGGCAAGCATGGGTTGCTGAAGACCTATTCTACCCTGGGTTTAGTACAGAATGGAGAGTAATCAATTTTGTATGGCCATGTTTGAGATGGTGAGTCGCTTCAGCCTTAATATATGCATAGACCACCTACTAGGTCTGGTGGTAGAGCGTCTGCACAGAGTGTGGAAGGTCTGGGGTTCAATCCCTGGATGGGTAACACCAAAAGATGTTAAAACATGGTACTTGTTGTTACCCTGCCTGGCACCTAGCATTGAGGGCATAAAACAAAGACTGGTCGGCTCGGAGTCAGTATACTGTGTCTGAGTGGGGTATCCATGTTAAAGTGTGGTATGGTATCTCGGTGGGCTTGCACTATAAAATCGACATTGGTCCGGACTAGTACAAGCAATCACATGCACGAACACACACGTGCATGCCTGTAGCCGTGCATGTAAGTGCAATATCCTTGGACATTATTCACTCAGTCTCCAATGTGGACATTAATCAGGGTGTGCTTGTTGGCAGGTGTGGACACCAACCTGGTCTTGCATGACATCAATCCAGCGAAGGGCAAGGGGAGGAAAGTACCCGGTCTGCCACAGGTATTGTCACTTTCCACCATAGGCAGTGTTGAGTACTCTCCATGATATTGCTTCAGTGTTGTAGTTAAGTTTTCCCAATAATGATTTATTGTGCTCCAACAACTGATTTTAGTACCACTATAATACCACCGCCCTGCCTCACCATTATGAAGAGTCACCCCACAGTGATATTGCTGCAACATTAAGTGTCCCCCACAGCGATATTGCTGCAACATTAAGTGTCCCCCACAGTGATATTGCTGCAACATTAAGTGTCCCCCACAGCGATATTGCTGCAACATTAAGTGTCCCCCACAGTGATATTGCTGCAACCTTAAGTGTCTCCCACAGTGATATTGCTGCAACATTAAGTGTCCCCCACAGCGATATTGCTGCAACATTAAGTGTCCCCCACAGTGATATTGCTGCAACCTTAAGTGTCCCCCACAGTGATATTGCTGCAACATTAAGTGTCCCCCACAGTGATATTGCTGCAACATTAAGTGTCCCCCACAGTGATATTGCTGCAGCATTAAGTGTCCCCCACAGTGATATTGCTGCAGCATTAAGTGTCCCCCCACAGTGACATTGCTGCAACATTAAGTGTCCCCCCACAGTGAAATTGCTGCAGCATTAAGTGTCCCCCACAGCGATATTGCAATGACATTAAAACTCCCCCACAGTAATATTGCTGCAACATTAAGTGTCCCCCACAGTGATATTGCAACAACATTAAAAGTCACCCACAGTGATATTGCAACGACATTAAGTGTTCTCCACAGTGATATTGCAATGACATTAAAACTCCCACAGTGATATGGCGATGGCATTAAAAGTCCCTACAGTTGTATTACAATGACATTTAGAGACCCCCACAGTGATATTGCAACATTAAGTGTCCCCCACAGTGATATTGCAACGACATTAAGTGTCCCCCACAGTGATATTGCAACGACATTAAGTGTCCCCACAGCGATATTGCAACGACATTAAGTGTCCCCCATCGCGATATTGCAACGACATTAAGTGTCCCCCACAGCGATATTGCAACGACATTATTAAAAATCCCCCACAGTGATATTGCAACGACATTAAGTGTCCCCCACAGCGATATTGCAACGACATTATGTATTTCTCAAAGTTATGTCAGTATTCCAAGTATTCAGTGTTTCTTCCCCCACTACAGCGCCCCCTGGTGAGCGTTGCCAAGGCTGCAGGCCTCCTGTTGTTGCAGTACCCAACATGGCTGGAGGTGTGGAGGCTCGGCGCCACCAAGAGAAATTCAAGTAAGGAGATGACCGTGTTCCAGGATGAGAAAATACCGTATTTGATAACTGACCTGGAAGGTTCTAGAGGAGTGGGTGAATTGGGTTTAACACCGCTTTGAACTGTATTCCTGTTATAACACGGTCTGCCAGCTTGATGTGGGAGGAAAGACTGAAGTGATGCAGGTCTTGGACCTTTACCACTTAGAAGCATTATGAGGGCAAACTGAAATTCGAACCCTTGTCATAGGTTACTGGTGTCCCCAAGGGACGCAGCTCTGCACAGCTATTTTTGGCGGCTTCTACCCAAGGTCTAAAGGATACTGGAGTAGACAAAAAAAGCAAACAATGGAAAATGTCCACAGACACAAAGACACAGCACCCATAACATTTCACACTGGATAACTGCCCCCCCCCCCAACATTTAAAACTGGCAAAAGCCAGTTTAAACTGGATAACTCCAACAGACAGTTGTTATTATGGAACCCCGGACACTTGACACTGGACAGGGGACATGGGTGGTCCAGTCATCTAAGGCACCACAAATCGCTGTGCAGAATTACATCCCTTGGGCATGATAGAAACCGATGATTGTGTGTTTGAATCCCGGTTCGCCCTGTGCGAAAACGTCCGAGACCAACATCAATTCGGGCTTTCCTACCACATAGAACTGACACGCCATGATGTAGGAATACTGCTGAAACTGGTGTTAAACCCAACTCTCTCACTAACACTGGACACTGGTACCTTCAATAAACTGTAATATGACAATAAGATAATTGGGGGCACGGGTGGCCCAGTCGTCTAAGGCGCCGCGATTCGCTGTGCAGAGTCGCGTCCCTTGGGCACGCCAGAAACCTATGATTGTGGGTTCGAATCCCGGTTCGCCCCGATTATGTTTCTAGGTTTGTCCGCACCATACCCATGCTCGTGGGTTTCACCGAAGTGGTAAACGTCTTAGACCTGCATCACTTCGGGCTTTCCTCCCACATTAAGCTGACACGCCGCGATATAACTGGAATACTGTTAAAAGCGGCGTTAAACCCAACTCACTCATTCACTCAATAAGATAATTGTATTACAGATCTCCATGGGGAAATTCTGCCACTGGACACCAAGCCACTGAAACTGGTCCAGCTGAAGGCCAAGATAGGAGAATGTGTCGTCTGTAGTGCCATAGCAGCAGACGGTGCTCTCATTGGCTACTCTGATGAAAGGAGCATCCGGCTGTACACCTTCACTGTGGTGAGTGGATGTGGCCTCGTCATGTCTTTCCTTTTAAGGACGTTTCTTGTGTGGTTAGTTTGTTTGTTGTTAAAGCCACACTCAGCAATATTCCAGCTATATGACGGCGGTCTGGACCAGACAACCCAGTGATTGACATCATGAGCATCTATCTACACATTTGGGATACTATGACATGCATCATCCAAGTCAGCGAGTCTGATCACCTGAACCCGTTAAGTCTCCTTTTACGACAAACAGAGTTGCCTTTTGCCCTGTCGTAGGAGGTGACCAAATGGATTGAGTGGTCAGGTTCAGTGACTTTGTTGATTTCATGTCATAGGACCCGTGAAGATTCCGGGGTAGAATAGGTCTTCAGCAACCCATGCTTGCCATAAAAGGCAACTATGCTTGTCGTAAAAGGCGACTAACAGGATGGGGTGGTCAGGCTCGTTGACTTGGTTGATACATGTCATCAGTCCCAATTACGTGGATCAATGCTCATGATATTAATCACTGGGTTGTCTGGTCCAGACTCGATTATTTGCAGACCGCCGTCATATAGCTGGAATATTGCTGAGTGCGGCGTTAAACGACAAACCAACCAACCAATCATGTCATAGTTTCCTGATCGCTTGGAAATTGCTCACAATATTGGATTGTCTTGTTAAACAACAATTTCCTTAAGGACATTTGATGTATCATACTTTGACTCGCCGTTCCCGTCGAGAACTTTTCTTGTCTTATAGTTTGGTCCGATATGATTCATGTCGTTCCATTTCTTGTGTGGCTAGTTGATGTGGTCCAGTATTCTTTTCCATATTTCTTACATGTCTTTTCAGAATGAATCAGAGGATCTTCAGCCAGTAGTGACCTTGACCCGAATCAAGGTCATCGATGAAGATATCATGCCAGCCCATCTCATGACTTTCAACATCCACAAGCAGCTCATCACAGCCTCATGTTCAGCAGCTGTTCAAGTCATCGATGTCAAGGACACTGAGGTCAAGGTCATCCACACATTCCAACCACTGAAAGGTCAGTTTGCTGCGTACATAAATCATATGTGAGAAAAGGTTCCCATGATAGCACTTGTATCACATAACCAACACAAACTAGGGCAATCAATGGCTGAGGAATTCTTGAAAGTATCAATTTCTTACCATGTTGGGGGAACAGGCGGCCCAGTTGTTTAAGGCACCTCAATTCGCTGTGCAGAGTTGTGTCCCCTGAGCATTCCAGACACTTGTGATCATGGGTTGGAATCCCAGTTCATCCCGGTTGTGTTTCTAGATTTGTCAGCACCATACCCATACTTGTGGCCCACAAGTTGTGGAGACCGCCTCCGTGGTCTAGTGGTAGAGCGTCCACCCGGAGAGCGGAAGGTCCGGGGTTCGATCCTGCGTCATACCAAAAGACGTTAAAAGATGGTACTTGTTGTTACCCTGTCTGGCGCTCAGCATTAAGGGGCTAAAACAAGGACTGGTCGGCTCGGAGTCAGTATACTGTGTCTAATAGGGGTATTCATGTTAAACTGCGGCATGGTATCTCAGTGAGCTAGCACTATAAATCGGCATCAGTCCGGACTAGCACAAGCAGCCACACAAACACACACACGTACATGCACGTCGCTATATAAGTGCAATAATCTTGGACGCGACGTTAAACCCAATTTCACCTCTCCTCACCACAAGTTGTGGGTTTCACCAAAGCAGTGAATGTCTAATACCTGCATAACTTTGGACTTTCCTCCCACATAAAGCTGACACTCCGTGATATCACTGGAATACAAAGTGGCGATAAGTCCTGTATAGCAGTCACATCATCCCAGGCTGGTCTGTGTAGTCCTGGTTCCTTGAGGTTGATGACACTCTTCAGTTCTCCTGACTGAATGTGAAGTAAACAGTTGTTGTGGCGATTTGTCCATGCATCGTTGACATTTACGTTTTCTTCATCCTCTATGAGAAGCTTCAAGGCCTATGGGGGGCACAGGGGGCCCAGTCGTCTAAGGCGCCGCGATTCGCTGTGCAGAGTTGCGTCCCTTGAACACGCCAGAAACCTATGATTGTGGGTTCGAATCCCGGTTGCCCCGATTTTGTTTCTAGGTGTGGCACCGTTGCCAAAGGCCCCACAATTTGCTTCTATTTTATCCAGGCATCTTTTGTACCACTGACAAATGACCCTTTTTGGCCTCCATACAACATAGGGCCTCAGCATCCCATACTTGTTATACAGTCTGACCGAATGTAGGAATGGGTGATTACAATGGTGGATCAATGTTGATTGTCTGTCATCATTATCAATCGGCATGCATCGGTTGGTTGCTGATGTAGTTGATGCATGTCATCGTGTCTACATTACGTAGATCGTCGCTCATGATATCAGTCACTGGATTGTCTGGTCCAAGCTTGAATATTTATAGACACTGTTATATAGCTGGAATATTGTTTCGTGCGGCATTAAACAACAAACAAACAAACAAACAAACAAACAATCTTAAGAACAATAACATGATGGGCGTAAGGGATCTCGTAGTGTGCAGGGCCGAGATGAAAATATAACTTTTCTTCTATTATGTCCGTATTTGTGGACACAATGGCCAGGTGATAGGGCATCACATAAGAACAATCTCAAAGTGTGTGTTTAACAATTGTTGTCAAGAAGGGAAAGATAAGTATGTAGTATGTATTGATAAATGATAATCCAACATCGGCTTAGACATCTATCATGAACAATATGTGTGTATGTCATTAAACACTAATCCAGTGTCATTAAACACTAATCCAGTGTATCATAAGACACTAATCCAGTGTCATTTACACTAATCCAGTGTGTCATTAAACACAAAGCCAGTGTGTCATAAGAAACTAATCCAGTGTGTCATTTAACACTAATTTAGTGTGACATCATTCACTAATCCAGTGTGGCATTAAACACTAATCCAGTGTGTCATTAAACACTAATCAAGTGTGTCATAAGACCCTAATCCAGTGTGTCATTAAACACTAATCCAGTGCATCATGAAACACTAATCCAGTGTGTCATTAAACACTAATGTAGTGTGACATCATACACTAATCCAGTGTGTCATCATACACTAATCCAGTGTGTCATTAAACACTTATCCAGTGTGTCATTAAACACTGGCCCAGTGTGTCATTAAACACTAAGTCAGTGCGTCATGAAACACTAATCCAGTGTGTCATTAAACACTAATGTAGTGTGACATCATACACTAATCCAGTGTGTCATTAAACACTAATCCAGTGTGTCATTAAACACTAACCTAGTGTGACATCATACACTAATCCAGTGTCATCATACACTAATCCAGTGTGTCATTAAACACTAATCCAGTGTGTCATTAAACACTAATCCAGTGTGACATAATACACTAATCCAGTGTGTCATCATACACTAATCCAGTGCGTCATCATACACTAATCCTGTGTGTCATCATACACTAATCCAGTGTGTCATTTAACACTAATCCAGTGTCTCATTAAACACTAGTCCAGTGTGTCATTAAACACTAATCCAGTGCGTCATAAGACACTAATCTAGTGTGACATTAGACACAAATCCAGTGTTCAAATCTGGTGAGCAAATGGTTAGATATCTTCATGGTTAGTAAACGTGGCTAATACAATAGTCCACAATAATCCATAATCTAGTCATAAGCCTGCCTTTCACACCACACAGCATATATTTATATAAAATATTCACCCCAATTCCACTTTCATCCCCTTCTGACCTCAGCAGCCAACACTCACCCCCTTTTGAACTCAGGACACTTTAGAATTCCTTTTTTCCTTGTAAAATTATTTTTATTTAGGGGCGGTAGGGTAGCCTAGTGGTTGAAGCGTTCGCTTGTCAGGCTGAGGACCCGGGTTCGATTCCCGACATGGGTACAATGTGTGAAGCCCATTTCTGGTGTCCCCTGTTGTGATATTCCTGGAATATTGCTAAAAGCAACTTTAAACCAAACTCACTCAAACTCACTATTTTTAAATAACCTCATTCATAACTATATATCCAGGACTCCACTTGTCTGCTGACATTAACCTGAAAGACATTTTGTTTTACATTGTTATTGTCCAGAAAGTCACTATTTTGTTTCTAATGTCATTGTTTTTCTGTCTGAGCGCTGTGTCGTTATTTCATCGGATATTCTGTGCAGGACATGAATCAGTGAAAAACATTGCCCTTCCGAAAATGGGTCAATTACAAGTGGTTAAAGTGCTCCGATTGTGTTGTCCTGTTGGGAGTGTCAGGGTCAGCGTGTTAATTCTCTTAGTTTTTCAACTCAAGTTCACAGCTTCTGTGTGAAACAAATTTGCATTTGAATGTTACTGTCAACAAACAAGGTGTCTGCCAATGCGACTGTGTGTTGGAGTGCGCACCTGTGCAGATGTTGACCGCAGGTAAATTTGCTACATAACAAGAGACAATTGTCTTCTGTCTGAGTTGTTGCCTGTTGCAAGAAGGGCATATCGGAGGCAGCATGGGGAATTTATGGAGGAGGATGAAAATAAGATTTGCTTGACAAGTGCACTTTAAATACTGAGTCTGTTCTTGTATTTGAGTTTCGCTGTCTCTCAATTTTCCTGTAATTCTATTCTCGTTTAAAATATCTGACATGTTTAACTGCTAATTATTTGAGAGGGGGTTCCAGGCGAGCTCCATGTTGACTTCCTTTTGTCTTGTTTGCTGTGTACTGCTGTGACATTCATGCTATCAACCCCTGGTTTGCCTGACTTTTTGTTCCACTGGGCCAGGCTATCAGCGTGTACATCAATCTCCCAGTCCATTTCTTTCCAGAATGGAACCCCAAAAATCTCAATCAGGTTTTGAACTGGTGCCTTCATCTGTTTAAGGATATTTATATATTTTTAGGGGTTTTACTATGAATGAAGTATAATTGGAATGTTATTTTATAATTTATATTCTCATAAAAAATATTTTATCTACTCACTATAACAAATTTCAATAATTTTTGTTTGAAAAAGAACTGTGAAGGTGTAATACTTTTATACAATTATTACTCAACACCTATTCAAGTTTAAGCTTGGGTAGCATGTATAGGTGCTGAATCTTGAAAATGTAGGTGGTATGTATATATGTGTAAACTCCACAACACTACAGTTACTTTTGCAATACTAATAACCAATTTGGATTAGTGAGTGAGTGAGTATGGTTTTACGCCGCTTTTAGCAATATTCCAGCAATATCACGGGCGGGGACACCAGAAATGGGCTTCACACATTGTACCCATGTCGGTAATCGAACCCGGGTCTTCGGCGTGACGAGCGAACTCTTTAACCACTAGGCTACCTGACCGCCCCCAATTTGGATTAAGGCTTAAAAAAATGAATGAATTGGTTCTCAGGCAAAGACTTTTTAAAACATAGTGCGGGCAGGTGGTGTTTTTAAACAAACAAAAAATTAAAATGGAAATGAAAACGAAACATGCAACAGACTTTATGATGATGTGGGCAGTGCCTGAGAACCTAGGCAACTATTTTTTTAGCCTAACATAGATTATCATAACAAACATGAATTTAAAACAATAATTTTAAATAAACATTACATATAATTCTCAAAACATGGCACAAAGTTGTTTGTTTATTATACCCCTAACCTAAAAGGGCGGGGGTATATGGTTATACCAGTGTTCTCGTTTACCGGTAATTACCAGTTTACTTCTGGTAAAATTGGGCTTGGGCTGTTAATTCATGTGATTGCCAGTCCCTGTGGACCGACACATAAAGTACCTTATAAACATGATAAATCTTTGTTGCTGAACAAAACATCGGCGATATTCATACAAGTATAATCCGAATGAAGTCAGCTTGTGTGTTACCTTCTGGGTTTCCCCATGTCTATTTTTAGTGCAAGGAAATAACATTCTGCCTTGCTTCTAGGTTTAGTATATATTTGTAGTGACTTAGTCTTGAAATATAAAAAAAAAGAGAAAATTGTGACTGAACTTTGTGTGAATGATGTGTAGATTTAACTTAGTTACTTCAGAGACGATGTCATGTTGAATGAATTAAAACCAGGTACTTTTTATATGTTTTTTAATTGTTGAAAGTTGGGACTGACAAAAATTAGGAGGGGAGTTTTCAGTGTTGCCAGTCCACCAGGTCTGTCAGTTTCAAAAGCCAGCGGGAACTCTGTATACCAAGGAATTCCATCCATCCGTCTCTCCGTCCTTCCTTCCGACGACACTTTTTTGTGCGACCTATAACTTGAAAACTACTACATAGATTTTTTTCGAACTTGGTGAACACTTTTTATCGGAGTGGTGCATTACGGAGTTTGATGTCAGTATGTTCTAAAAAAAATACAGCTTTTTTTCAGTTAGAATATATTTACTTAAACATAACTTGAAACCTACTACACAGATTCTTTTTCAAATTTAACGAACAGTTTCCATACTGGTTTGAATCGATTCTTTATAGAAGAGGTGCAGTGCAAAGTGTGGTTTTGATGTGTGTAATTTCTGAAAAAATAATATGTGTTTCATGTTGTGAACTTAGAATTTGGTTCACTTCAACATTTGTGCGACCTCTGACTTGAAAACTACTTCATGGATTCTTTTCCAATTGGGGATACAGTTTCTATTCCAAAAGGAGAGGGGGCAGTGCGAAGTTTGATTTCTATAAGCGGATTTTCTGAAAAAATGTTGCTTTTTTCATGATTTGAAATTCGAAATATGTTTCAGTTGAAGTCAAGGTATTAGTGAGCGATGGTCACTTTTTGTCTTGTTTACATCTGTTTATCAAAAAATTAATTAAAAAATTCATTTTCTTTCCCAAATATAACATTTGTTACATTTGACCACTTTCTAAAGGCATTGTGTATTCATACCCCAAAATATGGTCTCAAACCTCCCAAGTCACCCAAAATTAAAGGATCGGTGATGTTTAATTTCTTTCCAGATGTGGACTCCATACATCTTCTGAGTGTGTCCGCTGATGGGGATCATGTTGCCGTGGCCGACCACAAGATGAGGGTGCGAGTCTACAACATCACCACCAAACAGGTGAGAAGTAGTACCATGTAATCATAATAATGTGTGTACTTATATTGTGCCGGCCTCCATACACTTAATGCATGCTCAAGGTTCTAACATTATTACCCTGGTCGATGGATCAGTGTGCACTCGATTTTCATTCTCAGCTCCCTGGGGAGTATACAACACAAAGCTGCCTTGTCAGGCACTAGAAAGTTAACAGTCACATGACCATCTCATCCTATCGGGTACCCTACGAGATAAGGTGGACATTGACTGGTGGCAAAAGCAGACAGGATTGTTTGAATATAGCCACAGGGTCCGTTCCTTGAGTGACCTCAGCACTTCAATTGTGGTGATGTTACCACAAACTTATGAGAGCTAGGGTGTATGAAGCAGGGTCCGGGTTTGTTTGTACATAGTAATTGGACCCATGAAGATCCGGGGTAGATTAGGTCTTCAGCGACCCATGCTTGCCGAAAAGGCAACTATGCTTGTCATAAGAGGCGACTAAGGGGATCGGGAGGTCAGACTTGCTGACTTAGGTTGATGCTTGTCATCGTATCCCAATTGTGTGGATTGATGCTCTTGATATCAATCACTGGATATCAATCACCGCCATCATATAGCTGGAATATTGCTGAGTGCGGCGTTTAAACACAAAACAAACAATTCATTACGAGTCACAGGTTCTGCAGGAGCAACACTACCATCAGACAACTGAAGGGACTACGACCCATTGTATCCAAATTTGTGGCACAGTTTCGCCGTTAATATTAAATTTGGATACAGACTAATGTCAAAAACGAGATACCGCCAAGAAATGCATTGATATTTCAGTGGGAAACTTTACATATATATTTTCAAGAAGTGACGTTTCTTTTTCGGTTATATAACTGTATACTGTTAAAAAGCGGTTTTAAACCTAACTCACGCCCTGTTTCAGTTATATAACCTACCAAGCCAGAAGACCCAGCCGTGTGCTATGACCTTCTCTGCCGAGTCCAAGCAACTCTGCGTCGTGCACTGTGACAACACCATATTGGAATACAACGTGAACAAGTCGGAGCTGACCCAATGGAGTCGGAGTCACAGTCGGAGCCTGCCAGGTCATTGGAGGAACAGGAAGAACATCATCACCCAGATCTCTCCCAACCCACGCAATCCACAACACTACTTCCTTCACGATGATGAAGTCTTCTGCATTCTGGATAAATCAAAGGTAATGACTTTCATGAGGAATTCTCAGATTGTTTTCATGCTACCAGTTGGCTTGTTTGTCTCAGACGCACAGCTAAGTGTGCAGAGTTGGGTCCGGAAGGCAAGAATTCTACAATTCTTTTTGGAATCCCAGGTTTGGTCGATCAGCACCATACCGATGCTCATGCTTTTTACTTACCGGTAAGTGGTAAGCCCTGCAGTTTGCTGTGCAGAGTTGCATCCCTTAGGCACACCAGAAACCTCTGATTGTGGGTTCGTATATCTGTTTGCCCTGATTATGTTTCTAGGTTTGTCAGCATCATACACGTGCCTCTGGGTTTCATCGAAGTGGTAAACATCTGAGACCTGCATCACTTTGGGCTGACTCGCCATGATATAACTAGAGTACTGTGAAAAGCACCACCCACTGACTCCAAGCTGACACGGCCTGATATCACTGAAATAATGTTCAAAGCAGTGTTATAACAAACTCACGCAAAGCACCCGTCAGCAATTAATTATTCTGTGGGTTTTGAAATCCCAATCATGATTCACAATTATCAGACATACCAGCCTCTTGTTCTAAATAATTTGAAATGTAAGTATGAGTGAGTGACAAGACCATTTTCTAAAGGCACCTTGTGAGGTTTCCAGACCTGTGGGGGCCAGCTGGGCCAATCGTCTAAGGTGCTTGGGTACGCCAGAAACGTATGATTGTGGGTTCGAATTCCGGTTCACTCTCTCACGCCAGCGGCAGATCCAGGAGTTTTAAAGGGGGTGCTAAAAATCTCAATTTGTTATTTCATGGAGGTGGTGTAGGCACTGACATTAACTGAGTATGCACTCTAAATGTTCTGTAGGGCGGTCGGGTAGCCTAGTGGTTAAAGCGTTCACTCGTCACGCCAAAGACCCGGGCTCGATTCCCGACATGGGTACAATGTGTGAAGCCCATTTCTGGTGTCCCCCACAGTGATATTGCTGGAATATTGTTAAAAGCGGCGTAAAACCATACTCCCTCACTCACTCTAATTGTTCTGTAACATGTTTGCAGCCTATGGCAGTACCTGGTAAGAAGATGAAAAGACATAAAGACAAGCACATCGACACGTCCGACACAGCTTTCACCTACTGCTCAAAATACAAGGTGAGTCAACAAACTGATCACATGTTCTCGTAAGCCTCTCTCACTGAGGTCCTGAGCTGCAAGCTTTGTTTGTTTGTCTGTTGTTTAAAGGTCCAGTCAGCAATATTCCAGCTGTATGATGGTGGTCTGTAAATAAGCGAGTCTGGACCAGACAATCCAATGATTGCATCATCGGCATCGATCTACGAGATTGGGATACCATGACATGCATCAGTCAGCAAGCCTGACCACCCGGTCCCATGGCTCGGATCTTCACATGGTCCCTAGTTGCAAGAGTATTTGGTGGTCAGAAGGGCTAGGATGGGTAGCTCGGGTACTTGGGTCACGTGGGTCCTGAAAAGGACTCGGGTACCCACAGGACTACCCAGAAATGGGCTTTACACACTGTACCCATGTCAGGAATCGAACCCGGGTCTTCAGCGTGACGAGTGAACCACTAGACTACATGACCGCCCCGAATCAAATCACTGAAATCATGTATGAATCAAGTACCAGGACTGGTGCATGACGAATTTTTGGTGTTCTTACTCTCTGTACCTCCTAAAACAGAAGCTTTGGGATTCTGGGTCAGAAAAGATCCCTGTCACACAATGCTTGTTGTAAGAGCAGACTAAAACAGGGAACAAGGTGGTCCGACTCTTATCTGATTGCTGGTCTCCGTACCTCGTTGATTGTGCTCTTGATTTCAGTCACTGGTTCATTTTTTACAGGCTGTGATGGTGTAGCTGGAACTTTGTTCATTACTAATATTGTAGATTTTCCCAAACAGTAGGTGACATACAAGGCCAAGTACATTTTCAAGTTGACAAAACTAGACCGTCTATATACATGGTTAGTTGTGTTTTGAATGAGAACTACTTTAAAATATTCCGACCGGGGACACCAGACATGGGAAACATCATATCCATGTGGGGAATAGAACCTGGGCCTTTAGTAGGGCAAGCAAATGCTTCAGCCATTAGGCCATCCTACCACCCATAAGAGTCTTAAATCCGCTACATTTATGTAATTTTTAGCCAGTCTTTGTAGGAATTTAAGAAGGATGTGGTAAGATTCAAAACAATGCCATGAATGTTTGGGTTTTTTATGTTTGTTTTTTACCATTGCAGTACCTCTTGTACATGGAGCCCGTCTCAGAGGACTGGCTGGTTGCCGTTGAACGGACCCCGGTTGCCGTCACAGATACCCTACCAGCCACACTTCGACAGAAAAAGTTTGGCACATGATGCATCTACTGTTTCATTTGTGTGGGATGTGCTCTGATTTCAAGAATACAATGACTTCATGACAGATGTGCCCTGTGGGCCATGCTGTATCGGAGAGTACCGCAATGGTATCCAGAGGTTACATGATGGCGGGGGGAATGAACTCTGAATGTAATAGTTCTCAGGTACCGTGGATATTCTTGATATTAAAAAATACATACTTATACACTGTCTTTCCCTCGTGTGTAACCATAATGTCTCCAAGTTGGCGGTGCAAGGATATACTTTATTTGTTTGTTGTTGACATGATATATGATGGCCATCTGTAAATAATCGAGTCTGGACCAGACAATCCAGCTATTGACATCATGAGCATCTACCTACGCAATTTGGGTATGATGACATGCATCAACCAAGTCAGCAAGTCTGATCTCTTTAGTCGCCTCTTACAACAAACAATGAAGACGACGATGTGACTTTAAACCATAACTCAGTCACTCACTCAATGAAGACGAAAAAACAATGAAGACCAATTCTAACCTCGATGTTCACGGGGCTGGAACATCTTAATGATTCACTATTTAATACTGTAAATAACGAAATGTGTGGGCATGCAATTGTGCCAGTCCCTTTCCTCACTGTCATGTGACATATTACAGGAGGGAGTTGCAACACCACTTGGATGTATTCCAGTTATTTCACAGCTTGGTGTGCGAGGAAAGGATGAAGTGAAACCCATTCCCACGGGTATGGTGCTGACAAATCTAGAAACAATCAGGGCGAACTGAGATTCAAACCCACAATCAGACGTCAGACAGAGGCATTTATTGTCATGTCCAAGTGAGTGAGTGAGATGGGTTTAACGCCGCTTTTAACAGTATTCCAGTTATATCGCGGCGTTTGTCATGTCCGAAACCCTGGCAAAAAGAACAAAGCTCTCTAAGAGTACATTTTACAAAAGTTGATCAACAATTATGACAGTCAAGCACCCTGTATGACGGTGTTTTTGTTCTTGGCAACGTTGAAATGTCCAGTAACTGCAGCCATGGTGAATACACAGCACTGCTCATTCATATTCAAAGGATTGTTTTAGCCAATGGGCCACAACGGTATCTCTTAAAGTTTTATCTTTCCATGATACTAATAATGATTCATCAAGTAAATATTTAAATATATCCGACATATTTGATTATCCTTATCAAAAGGGCCCCTGAAGACGCCGGGGTAGAATAGATCTTCAGCAAACCATGCTTGCCGTAAAAGGCGACTATGCTTGTCGTAAGAGGCAACTAACGGGATCGGGTGGTCAGGCTCGCTGACTTGGTTGATGCATGTCATCGATCCCAATTGCGTGGATCGATGCTCATGATATTTATCACTGGATTGTCTGGTACAGACTTGATTATTTACAGACCGCCGTCATATAGCTGGAATATCGCTGAGTGCGGCGTTAAGCAACAAACCAACCAACCAAATCCTTATCAAAAGTGGAGTTGTGTCTAATCTAGTTAAATTTTTTGTCTTATATCTGCCAGACGAGAAGTATCACGCCTTGACGTGCAAAACTTGGGGTCCAGTGGACCCCCAAGAACTAATTTCAAGGGTCCGTTACAGGAGGTATGAGGGTCCAGTAATGAAATGTAGTGTAGTCTTACTTTAATTACAGGAACTTTATATTTCTTGTCAAGAAGTTTGTTCAATGAATATTGTGTGCACCTCGGGACACAATATTTGTACATTTTTTGTTTCTGCATCCGTTCCATACATTTCATAGTTACATGAAACTCATATGTGAGTGAGTGTGCTTTTACACCGTTTTTAGCAATATTCCAGCAATAACATGGCGGGGGACACAAGAAATTAACTTCACACATTGTACCCATGTCAGGAATCGAACTGGGGTCTACGGCGTGACCAGGAATTATTATTCTCCATTTTACACAATTTGAATGTTTTTCATCCATTAAAGTCATCCCAGTGGACGATTCAACACAGGGTCCATCCATATGATCCACAGGAGTATGTCGGTTGATAAAAAACAATGTCATGTAACTTTTGGAATATTTTTATTGAGTGTCAACAGCTCACAACATAGATTTTGGAGCATTGACAATGAGAACAAATTGCTTGGAGACTCTCTCCATCAATTAAATAGGAGGCAGAGATTGCCGCGGCAACGCAGCGTGCCCGCATATGACCAGCAGCAGCAGCAGCAGCAGGAGGAGGAGGAGGGAGGGAGGGGAGGGGGGAGGTGATGGGATAGCAGCAGCGCCAGCAGCTGCAGGGACGACGCACGGGGCGCAGGCTGGAGGACGGCCCACAACACCATGACGAAGAACGTCCGTGACTTCAAATAATTTTATCCTCTGCCTCAATTCAATTGGAATGAATTTAGTCCTGCTTATACAAATAAAAATGGCTTTTCTTCAAAATATACCTTGGATTGAATTGTAGGATTATTGACAGATTGTTCAATCCCAGCAGCAGCGTAAGGAGACACTCTCCCACAAGTCACGACGTCCCTCTTCATGATGAAGCCAGTATATTGTAACTTATTTGAGTGGAAAGGCCGGCAGGCAGGCATGTCGCCACCAGGGGGAGCTATCACACGTGATTTCATCTACGAGCAAATGCTTAAATGATACAGGTCCAGGCAGACAGTCGCCCACAACAATAATCAGCCATGAAATGATCATACAACCGCTGATAAGATCAATATGGACATTCCCCACTGAACATAGCATGCCTGATTTATGGTTGCGACCAACCCAGCAGGACAACAGCTTGGCTCTAGAACATTAGCAACAGGACTGTGTCAGTCTGAATATGGAATAGTAACTTGACAGTGGTGCAAACTCGTATTTACTACATGCAGCAGAGAAAGAAGCCTTTGGATAATGGGCATGTTACTTTACAGCCTATGTTTAACCTGGCAATCGAAGCTCAGTACATGACTTTGTTACACTAGGGCTACAGACAAGCTGCTGCATCTGCTGTTGTCAGCACTGAGGAAAAAAGCAAAAGCAGCATTCAGACAAGATGAAGGCAAATCAGGTCGTCGGGTCTTTCTATCATCAGCTGAATTAAAGTGACAGACTTAAAACTTCCATGTAACCAACACCAATGGCCATCTTAGACCTGACTAGCCCAAATCTTGCAAACTTGGGTAACGATAATATGTTAACAAGTCACACAGCTGAGTAACGCAAACTATGGAAAATGAATCTGCCATTTTATGGCCTTGAAGCGATTATAACAAATGTGCATTGAAAAGGCTTGCAGCTGGGAGGGGCCTGGCCCACATTTAAAATGTTAAAAACTCTATAAATTTTTCAAAAATTATTTATGGCCTCATTGTTGTACTTGCCTTCCACCCTCACAGACCAGAATGGTACAGTCCGTTTCAAAGCAGGGGATGTATCATTTAAAGAAGTGAGGGTGGAAGGGTGGCCGAGGCCAACACAAGCGAGTACTGTGTTATCTTAAACAATGTCCACTTTGACACATGTATCGACTATCTCAAAATATGCATTTGTTGCAAGCTAAGTGTTGCATGAATCGTCCCAACATGGGACACCCACCCTGCCACATCTTCCAGTTTCTTTCACAAGTCATCACTCAGAAATCCAGCACGAATCCTACAACAGTTTCTAGAAATACTAGTGTCTTTCAGTCAGAGAAATATGGAATCAGAGCTAGCAGAATGAAAAGAACAGATTCATAAATGTCTGTTCCTATTTAAAATTTCTTAAGGCTTAAAAAAATAAAAGAATTGATTCTCAGGCAATGACTTTTGAAAATATAGTGCAGGAGGGCGGTTGATTTTTTTTATTTTGCTTGTTGAAACTAGTATGTAGTATGAAACCAAGGAACCAGTGGTGTACCATCAACCTGGGAAAGGGCCTCCCTTCAAGCCTACAAACTCCTATTGCCACCGTGACCATAACACGAGATGCGCAGTAAAGCAGTGCATATGTAAAGGGGAGTAAATGTGTGCTGTATTGGATTGCATTGTTTTTAAGTATTAGGATTATTTAATTTGTTTAAAAATGGAAATAAAAATGAAACGTGCGGCAGACTTTATGATGATGCGGGCAGTGCCTGAGAACCAAGACTCTTTTTTTTTAAAGCCTAATATATATAGTTCTTTTTCACAAGTGCCACAATACTCCAATGTACTCAAAAAAATATACTGTCAGAGTTGGAAGATCGATATCTTTCTTTGGGGAGGTGACAGGAAGACCACATGATTCAACCACAAATAACTTCAGTTCAGAAAAGGAGTTCTACTTGATCCTAAGGGGTCGACCAATTGATATTCCAGGGGCCTGGCATTTTATCGAAAAAATAAGTTGTCCCCCAAAATGCATGAAAAGAAATAATTATGCTTCAGACTGTTGAAAGAAGAAGAAACTATCTGCCACAAAAAATACATTGTTTCAAGATATTGTTTAAAAAAGAACATTTAGGCTCATAGGTTTAAAAGAATAGGTGAAAAAATACCAAGTCTTGATACAAAATCCCCCCGCCCCCTCCCCCCAAAGATTATCAAATGGTAGGTCCCTAAGTACATTTTCAGGGCAAAGTGGGTCAGTGTTATTATGACAATGGGGAGGGAGCGTGGGTCAGTCAGCTCAGACAAGTCGAGGCCTTTGAGGCTTCTATCACAGATGACCTACTGAGACTGACCAATGACAGACGAGAGAAATGGTGGGAGGTCAGATGTCAGCAGAAGATGTGGTAGGGTAAGGTAGCTTCAAGTTCTGCACTTGAGATGCTTACATCTGCTCCCGAATTACACAGATGCCATTTTGTATTCTTCCAACAAAGGCTGAGATCTAGACAATACATAAACAAAATATTCACAACAAACAAAGGCTAGACCACTGTCGTCATCGATATAGTGAATTAGGTGAATTAGGGCTCCAACACTACCAGTGCTTACCGAGTCTCCTACGATACACGGCCACAATAGTCCATATATGGAAACAGCATTAACATGTATTACCATGGTAACAGTCTAACGTATCCTAGAAACAAGACTGCATTACCATGGAAACTGGATATAATTCTTGTAACAATTGGCAGTACCATGGCAACAGTGTTAAACACTTGACAACAGTCTGTCACCATGGTAACAGCCTATGTAACAAACTAGTCACCATGGAAACATATTTATCACTTGGAAACAGCCATAATCCTTCCGACGATGGAGTGTTGTCAC